GAACACAATACTACAGCCACCTGGGGATTCTTTATCACTTCTGGGTTAGCCAAATTTGTCCAGTTGTTCTACTCCTCCAGATATATCAATGACAACACCAGAGATTCTCTTACTTATAGCATTTATTTCACACAGCATGTCATTAAGCCACAGCAACATTTGAAGTTATAATATTTCTAGTGATTCCATTTCTCTCTGCTGCTAGCTATCCTGGGAAAAGTTCCCATCAAAACATTTGCCTCCATCATGGCAACTGTGGCATCGGTTGTCCTCCTAATTTGTGTTTGGTAGGTTTTATCTTCTCCACGTAACATCCCCATTGTGTGCCATGCAGTGGTTTCCGAATCAGAGAGGATACTTCAAGATTTGCCATCTCCGGGTGAGTTAATGCAGAGATGCTTTGAATTGCATTAAAAATGCACTGATTTTTTTAGAAGCTGATGCATAATCATTGACTAGCATGTTCAGTGAATGAGAACTACACAGGACAAAAATCTGTGTCTGTTTTCTCCTTTTAAGTTGGCATCAGTATCATAAGCCTGACCCCTCAATATCAACTATTAGAATTACTGCATCTTCCAGCTTTTTAAGAAGTACATTTTTGTACCAACTCCTACAGCATGTCAATAAATTCTAGAAACTGCTGTCTGATAGTCATAATTGTAGGGATATTTTCATTACATTCCATTTTGTTCCAAAATGTACCTGCTATGCCAATTTCTAAAACTTACCTATTTTGGTGGACATGCTGCACAAACTGTACTATTATCGGAATTATATATGTGAGCTCTATTCTTTGGCCCTATCCAGTGGGTGGCCTATAAATGTGAAACTCCAGATGCAAGCATACAGTTCCAGGAGCACTGGTACAGTATCATACTCAATGCAAAAAAGCTGATAAAAAAGTGGCAGATGAGCAAGATGAATGTAAACTGAAGTCCAGGGGCTGGCTAGAATATGTGTGTCTTCCCTTTTCCACAGCAAAATTCCCTCTAGACACCACTGCTACTCTTTGTAAGGGTTCTCCCTAATACTTTGTACTGCTATTTACTTGTCATCTGGATTTTTGCAGTCCAGATATAATAGGCCTGGGATACCTATGCTATTTGTTAACATGTTCTTATTCCATAGATACACAGCTAGTTTTTTTCCTTCAGTCTAGAAAAAATATATATATATTGTAGGGTGTGAAGGAGTGAAGTTGGGAAAAGTAGCTGGAGCCAGGCAGAAATGCTTCTCACCCCACTTCCCCCATACAGTCATTCATTAACTCACAACTGCACTCACAAGCATCCAAGCTGGTGTTCCAGCTGCCTGTGATAATTGAGCCACACCCTGGCATTTTCAAGGATGTGCTGACATCCAGAGGCAGCCTCATCCCACCCAGGCTCTTAGCTTACAAAAACAAATGCTAAGACAGGGTGGGGAGATGTGGATGGGTAGGAGAAAAGGAGATAGGAAATCAGCAAGCAGGTGAGAAAATGGGAGGCAACAACTGAAGATTGACAGCTATTATAAGCAGGCAAGAGGACTGTAATTCAACTGCCAGGACCACAAGCTAGGGTGAGCAGCATATCCTGGTGGGAGTCCTGCCTGGAGCTTAGAGCTTTGCCAGAAGCTCAGTAACAACCAGAAGAAGAAGAAGAAGAAGAAGAAGAACCACACTGAAGCAGCACCTCATCCCAACTAGAGTAAGAACGTTTGGAAGGGGGAGAAGGTTGTTTGCCACTTTTCAGACTTTGGGACTGTTGCTTGAATTAAGTATTAAAGGTCTGAGTATTAAACACATATTTTCATGGCAATATCACCTTGCAAGTTCTAGAAGGGTGGAGAGCAATCGTGTTGTTGGGGAAGGTGTGTGCTGTAATAAAGCATTTTGTACAGATTTTTTATGCTATGGTGTATCCAGTCCTTGGAAAGTAAAGAACCCTCACATAGGGCAATAAGGTATGGCTTTCTTTCAACAAAGGAACTGAGATAATACCACTATCATTTGGTTAAAAAAAATCTCAGGCCCAAAAGTCTATTGACTCAGAGGAGGAAAAGGTTTAGGATTTAAACCCTAGGGCAGGCTGACATACCTCTCTCTCTCTCTCTCAATTCCTGAGTTCTATAGCTCATATATTGTGCTTTGGGTACAGTGGCTAGTTGTATTAAAATATTGTGTGGCTGTCAATGTCTTCTTGGATTAATCATTCAATTATGACTGCAGGAAGTACATCTTATGCATCAAATGTTAACATTCAAAATGTTAAAAGGGAAGACTGTGGAAATGCTGTGTTCCAGGAGGAAGAATTTCATTAGGAAAAGCCATCTTGTTTTAACATGGATGCTGAATGGAATGCACTAAGTAATATAACCACAGTCTAAACTATGTAACATGTAACTATCTGCAACTATGCAACTTGTATTAGCCTCAAGAGTATCCAGTGATACAGGTTATAAATTGTTCTTCCTCACCCTCTGATATAATAAGATGGTTTGACAAAGTTCAATATAGTCTTGCATGATTCTTTAAGAACAAAGAAGAATTGTGTTATACTTTTAGAGATCAAAGCATAATTTGAGGGAGTATAGACTTTAAGGATGATTAGTTTAGAAGAACAGATATTTACTACATTATATATATGTAACCTGAAAACGTCCTTGGGTGCAGCCTCTGAAGAGCACCTTGATATGTCAATGAACTGCAGTAGCCTCACTCCCCATTGACCTCATTTCTTTCTAGTTTTAACTTCCACACTGTAAAGGACTGGGTCTACAAGTTGGAGTTTCTGCACTCACGTTTCCTGCTTGATAAGCAGGAAGAAGCTATAGTCAAAGGGGCTTTTGCCCGGCTTTGGATGGTATACCAATTGCAGCCATACCTGTTTTAACCTTTTATATATACTGTAAGCCGTTGAGAGTCATTTTGATTGTGGCAAGGTAAAGTATGATTAATAAATACAGTGTGAGGTTAAGTGTCAAGTGTACTTACAAAGTCACAACGTTCTCATGCCTAATCCCTTCATTCACTAGTTACTTTTGTTTCAGCAACTGAACTAAGTTGCATCTGTTTACATAGAGCTTTTGCAATTTTTGATTGTGAGAAATTCAGCTCCTGAAAAGAATCAGGGAAAAATTAACTGATTGCAAAAACATTTCTGCAAGGAATATTATCTACCTTTCATTCTCATTGTGCACACTATACACAGTGAAATCAATGCATGTGTTTGGCTGATGAGTGTTATGCTAGATTCTTAACTCACATAGGTATAAATATTTGCGTTCCCAATCTTTCTCTCAATAAAGTTGTGGGATGATGTGAACCTCACCTGAATCTTGAGTTTAGAGTGAAGCAGGCTCTCAGAATGTCTCAGATACACTTCTTTCCATTACTCAAACGCTCTTCTGTAGATGAAGGGAAGAACTGAGATTGCAGGACAACTCGAGATATCAGCATTCATTACCAGCAAAACTGACAGGAAAGACTTCTAAAGCTTAGTTCTCCAAGATGATTTGTTTTTAAAGAGTCTTGACAGAACCAGCATTTTATAAAATGCTTAGGATGTGGCTTTAAAAGCTTACAGTTAGTGTATTATACATAACTTCCATTCTCAAGCAAAATATTATATTGCCAAGGAACTATTCTCCACCTGATCTACAATAAACAGGTTCCCATAAACTGTTTTCAGATATGCTTCTAAAGGCCATGTGTTTTTCTAAGGAGACAATAAATCAACATTTTTGACCTGGTACTTTCCAGAGCTGCAGTTTTTAATATTTATAACCTTTGGCCAAGTTGGCTGGGAATTCTGGCTCCTACACATCTGAATGGTTCCAGAGTTGAAGAAAGGTATTTTATCCAGCCTTCTTCGCATGGACTCAAGCTACTGTATATTGTCACCTACTACCACTATCTTACTCTAGTACAATGTGTAATAAATGAGCTTGAGAGCCTGAGTTCTCACATAGTATTTTGTGGCTCAACTAACAGAACATGAGTTCTCCAATGTTTCCCACTTTGCCTCCATAAAATAGGGAGGAATCACCAAACTTCTGACAGCTAAAGCCCTTACCCCACTCTTGCTTCAGAACTGCTATGCTGACAGTGGCAAATACATGAAGCTCTGGTAACAAGTGGCAAAGAGATGCAAAAAATTGGAAAATCTTTAAAATCTGCAATTTTAAGCATCTCATAAATTTCAGGAGGGAGATCATTCCAGATTGAAGCTACTGCCACTAAGAAGCTCCACCTGCTGAGTAACCAAAGAGAATAACTCTGGTTTCTGGCTCATGCAATCTTAGCACTCAGTCCTGTAACAGTCAAAGCAAACTATCAGGTCTATTTATTACCTATAGACCTCCCCTTTTAAATTAAAAAAAAATATATCCTGGGAAGATTCATATAATTTTCCTTCAGCTTAAATAATATCCAACTAAATTGGCTTAAGAACATTTCTGTTCATAAATCAGAATGTTTAAACTCAACCAGTGAGACTTGGATTAAGCTCTTGATGCTAAACAGTATCTAGCAGCTGATGATTCCAGAAAACCTTTTCCAGACATAGAAGAGTAACTGGGTAAGAGTTAGGGATGTAGAAAACATTATGCACACAGAACAGCTGTTTTGGGATGGTCTGTGCTCATGCCTGTTTTGGATCCTTTGGGCTGTTAAACCATGATCAGTCCAATGTGACTGTCTACCCTGGTTCAAATCAAAAGAGTTTTCCATTTTACGCCTATTCTAGTAAGATTGGATGGAGGGAGACAGCAAAAACAGCAATAAAAATTCTACATGCTGTGCCATGCTCCATTGCAAGACCCATGTATTGTTTATTGGCCAAATATGACCAAGACCAAGCAGATTACCTTTTGTACAATTGAGTAAGATTCATAGTGTTCATTCTTTAATTAAAAATTATTTAGTTTACAGGAAATTAATCTGCAACAGACCAATTTTTTCACACTATAAAGTCACACTTAATTCAATAATAAAATAACACTTTATTTGCAAAATAAAAATAATTACATAGCAATATAAATAAACTGACAGGTCCAAATAATCTATGTAAATCCCATGAGATATATTCCAGCTCAAACACTTGAATGTCAAAGTAGGCTACCAAAATTAACTACTGAAGCCAGAGGTTTGGTCAAGCTTAGACATAAATTGTGAAATCTGTTCTAATATTTGAAGTTTTATTTCCCTCTTTTTTCTACAAACATACTGAGAAGAAAAATGATTGAGAGCTTTAAACTCTGGCCTTAATTTATCTTAAGAACACACCTCACATTAAAGGCATAACTTTTGGAGTTAACATTATATATTGTGCAAGGCCTATTTCAAACTCACTCCTTCAGCTCAGACATAAATTTATGTTGAAGGCTCCTATGGGTTTAGAATAACACTCTTAAAATGCAAGACACAGCCAAGCCTTGATTCTTAATGTGGATGTAAAGCTATACAACAGAGAATGCAAGAGAATATTAACACTTCTTCTGTTACACCAAAATGTAATTTCACACATAAGCTCCATTTATACAGGCACAACAACTTACTGAGCACCAATTCCCAGCTTTTTTTTTGTTTAATTTGAACACATTAATGCTCAATTATGGCCAAAACAAAAGTACTCTCAAAGTGTAAGTACCACAGTAGCAAAGCGATACAAAGCAGGGTTATCACTGGTAATGAAATGTTTTGTAGACCAGACTATCCAACACTTTTAATGAAACAAAACTACAATTCTGTTTTTAAAAAAAGTACAAACAACAAAACAACATTGTTAACGATTTCCCCCAAGTTCACTGCAAATGCCCTTCTCGCTGAATTCGAAGCCGCTCTTTCTCCACTTGCAAGCGTTCTTTTTCAATTTGCAGCTTTTCTGATTCAAACTTCAGGAATTGCAGCCTCTCCTTCTCAAGCTGCAAACGCTCTTTTTCAATTTTCAGTTTTTCTGTTTCTAAATCCAAAGGTTGTAGGACAGGCTTTTCTGCCTGGTTTGCATCATTCTCCAGGATAGGTTTTTCACCATGCTGAGCTTCAAGCCTCAGTTTCTCCCGCTCAATTTGTAACCGCTCTTTTTCCAGCTGAAGCCTCTCATGTTCCAGGTCAATATGCCGCAACCGCTCTTTTTCAATCTGCAGACGCTCCTTCTCAATTTGCAACCGTTCCGCTTCAATATCCAGCCGTTGTTTCTCCAGCTCTAGCTTCTGCTTCTCCAAGCTAATCAGTAAATGGGAATCTTCATAAGCCAGCCTAGCTTGAGCAGAGCTTAGATTTCCAAATTCTTCAATATGGGTGAAATCAGGAAGGTCACTTTCCTTTTTGGAATCTGGCAAAACTGAGGACAGAATTTCCTCTTCTTCCTCAATAGGAAACTAAGGAAATTAATCAGAAATTTTAACCTTGTTTGAAGCTAAATAGACATATCCCTCAACTGTAAATAAAGTAGATCCATAATTTCCCACTTACAACCACAAATGTTTTTTAGATTAACATGGAAAAAGGGTTGATATAATCAAGAGCAGAAAGTAGATATTAAAAGCTCTTGCTCTAAAAATGTTTGCTTCCAGTACCTCATAACATCTTGTAAACAAAAATACATAACCTGTTCAGCCCTGCCTCCTCTGGTAACATCACAAACATTGAAGTCATTTTTTAGCATAAGCCCAGCCACATATAAAAGACCCATCTCTATTAGAACACTGAGCCCAGCTCTAAAATTTGATGGATGAAATATCCAATTAAAAATTAAGGTAAATACATTCTGACAGTACAATCCTAGACATGTCTACATAAATTAGGCAACTTTAAGAAATTCGCAAAAGAGAAAGAAGTTTGGACCTTTATAAAAGAAAAGTCAAGAGAATCATATTTATTCGGCAAGTGTCAGTTATTCACTTGGAAGGCAGAAAAGTAACAGCTGCTGGGTAACAAGGAATTCCTCTATTTAAGAGATTACAGTTGTTTATACAGACTGACATTGCTCACATAAAGAAACACATGCTGAAATAGGTATATATATTGAGGACCAGATCATTCTCTAATTAATACCAAAAGACTTAACTGATAGCAAACAAAGCAAAGGGACAAAATGCAAGCAGATTATAAGGCAACAGAACAAAGAGTCAAAGTATCTGTGAAACTGGCAATCTATACCAACAACAAATTCACCATTAATGCTATGACAAGCTGGATTTCAAACTGAAAGAATAATGGTTGGAAAACCAAAGTAGAAAAAGAAGCAATAAACAAAAAATATTGGGAAAGAAGTGCTAAGCTGTCAGTAAGTCTGGACATCCAGAGAATCCATGTTCTAGGTCATGCTAGCTCTCCTGGAAATGAAGTACTTGATTGATTTGCAAAAGAAATCACTAGAAAACTGTGATTTTAGCATTTTGTGATCAAAATACCTCAGGGAGTCTGGGGGCAGGTTAATTAATTAATTTCAGGTTAATTCGGCTTCTGTTAAATCTCCAAATATTTTATAATAAAAGATACAAATATTTGGCTTAAACAATGAAGAATTTCAATACTGTCGAAAGTTCAAGATAATTCATATATTTATGTGTATATAACCAGATCATCTCCTCCATTTTTCAAATCTGTATCCAAGAGTATTTACAACCTACTGATTATGTACAACTAGCAAATTTTAAAATGTTAAAAGTATATATGGAAAATATGCACTGTTTGCTTGAACAACAGCATATTCTTTCCTATTGACTGATTTGGGTTTTTTTGCATTAAAAAAAAAGATTTAGATTCAATGAGACTTAAGGCCAGATAAGAATATAAAGAATTGGACTTACAGTAGTTTCTTCTAGTTAAAAATGTACCCCAGATGTTTAATCTTGCTTTTAACCAAATGTCCCTGGGCTAAGGATTAAATGAGTGTGTGAATAAAGGTTGATAACTGCATAATATGTATTAATAACCCCTTATATATCCAGTCAAACTATTAGTAGAAACAGAATAATTAAGATAGCTTTCACATTAAACAGATTACAGATAAATTATCACTTAGGTTGTATAAGACATGTAACAGTTAAGCTAGGCAGGTTTACAGAATACACCTACTGTACTATAGAATTACTTACTTCAAAACTCTGTGGATCTTCCTCCTCCTCTTCTACTTTCACTTCAGTTAACGATCCTCCTGCTTCTCTGAAATCTGTGATATTTTGCCATTCAAAATTAGATTCATTTGGAAATCCTATTTTCTCATCAATATCTTCATTGAGAGAGTCATCCAGATCAGATGAAGGGAGGTGAAAGCCAGCTCCCACTAACTTTATATTAGTATTCAGTCGCTTTCGTTTCATAAGGGCTCTCCAATCAAGGTATCGCCTTTTGACTTCTGTCCCGGTCCTTTGCTCTCCTTCACCTACAGCATTCACACATTCTGCAATTTCTTCCCAAGCCTTCCGCTTCATCTCATTAATAGTTGTATTTAGCTGCTTGGAAAAAAGCACCTCTCTCCTTTTTCGGATTTCTTTAAGCAGTGTTTGAGTCTCCTGAACACTGAAATTGCTTTTTCTTTTCCTTTTTAGTTGTTTCATCTTTTCCAGCTTTCAATGTACTTCTTTCTGCAGTAAACGGGATTAGTGCTCAATCATCCTGGAATTCAATTTGTTTATGCATAGTAACAAGTTCCCCTTTCAACTTTTTAAATTTTTAATAGCAGTAACCAAGTATGCAGATACTGCATTTACTCAAAAGGAACTTAATTCTAAAATCAGAACCATTAAATAATTGTTATGAATTAAGAGATCCTTAATTTATCTGACAAAATGTATTTTTAAAAAGGGTATATAATACCAATACTTAATTTTACATGCGATTTTGAGTTTTTTCCCCAGAAGACCACCCCACACAAAAAAACTGTTTTTAAAAGTATTATGCTTACTAACATTTGCTATCAAGCTAGCAATTTTTGAAACAAGAATATTTTACTGAGTATCAGAGGTTCCCCTTAAACATTGTTAGCAAACATAATTAAGAGTTGAAAATTCTTTTTTTTTTACTTAGCTTAAT